ACTTGAGGCTGTGGTGTAGTGGTTAGGTGTGCTGGGATGAAGGTTGGACTGGATGATCTTCAGAGGTCCCTTCCAACCCCGAACATTCTGTGATTCTGTGATTCTGTGAAAGGGGTGGGCTGCTCGCTGAATGTCTCTGTGAATAGCTTTGAAGTCGGGCGGAGAGCCTGTTCTTCACACGCAGCGATGGGCTTAAGAGAGGACAGAGGGGTGCTGGGGACCAGGGAACGTGGACCGTGCGGTCGTCTGGAGGGGCGAAGCAACTTGCGTCAAGGACTGCGAGTTTATTTTCCGGTAGTCGTGGCAAACACCTTGGTGCCGCCCTTTGCCCACAGGAAGCCGAGTTCTTTTCCTCTTGGTTTCTCTGTATGCAAAGACAAAGAAATGAGGTGAATATGGATTCCCAGCTTCGTCATGGATCACGGACGCTCTCCGAGATTCAGAATCCGTGAGATTCCAAATGGGTGATGACACAACTCGCTCTGGGCGGGTAGTTCCTACAGGATGGTGTGTTGGGAATGACTGTGTTTTTATCTCCCTGTATGGTCCCCGTGGGTGCCAGGCAGCTAGATCCCAAATCACTTCAAGGCACACATAATACCCCTTCCAAGCTGGGAAAAAAAAAAAGACTTGACCTCTGCGGAAATGCAGTGTCTATGTGTGTAAAGCGAGGCTTTGCAGGCCTGAATTTCTCTCTGCCTCTAAACCAGAGGCAGCCTTCTTTTTGTAATCTCCCTTTTGTCCTTTTTGCAGACATGAATTGCATGTGATAGTAGATGAGATCTACATGCTGTCAGTTTTTGACGAGTCAGCCACGTTTCACAGTGTCCTGGGCATGGACAGGTAAAATCAGTTCCTACTTCCCTGGCCATCTTCCAGTGACAGTTCAACATGATGCCTTGCTGAGAACTTGTGACTGGAAGTTAAGTCATGAGCTAGCAAATTCTGCATCTGCCTTATGCTGATTTCTTGGGGGTTTGGGTTCTGGGTTGTTTATTGTTTATTTTTTCTAATTTCTGAATGACAAATGCCTTTTGTTGAGTGCAATCTAGCAACCAAAACAAGGCAGTTACTCTTCTACTGTGGTAAGCTTTTCGATGTGTGCTTCAGTATTTGCTTGTGACAGTCCCCAAAACTGGAAACATGTTTAATTTGCTGAGAATGAGGCTTTGTTACCTCCTCACCACGTTTCTGTTGATGCCTGTAAAGACTTCCTAATGCTGCTTCCTCTTTTTTTTTTTTCATACAATATTCAGGGATCATAGCGTTATTACAGACTGGAGAATGGGTTTTATTAGGTATCGATTTAATAAGATGGAAAACTTTTTTCAGATCTTGCCTTTTAAAAAAAACGCCATGTTTTCTTGCCATGCATTTTAGAAAAATTTCTGGTTTTCACCAGTGGTGCGAGCTTTTTTTTTTGTGTGCTCAATCTGCAAGCAAATAAGATACGCTTGGTGAAGTATTAGCTCAGGGTTGCTGGGCTTCGATGCACAGCATTGCAGAAGAAGAATTTTATCCCCTCCTGCAAAATACTGGGGGTTGAAGGAAAGAAAATTACTTTTAATTCTTGGCAAATACATTGGCAGGGACCTGTTTTCTAGCATTATATGTACACGCTTCACACGCTTTAACACTTGCAAGTATCTCTGCATCGGACATATTTAAAAATTTGATGCAAAACTAGTTCTGGGGAGTTGCCAGCTTCCAAAGTTAGGTTGGATCTGAATTGTTTTTGTTTCTTTTTTTTTCCTACTTTGATACTCCGCGCTGCGCTGTCCGTCACTGCGTAATGCTGTTCCTGCAACGCCCGTGCTGGTGATCCAAAAGCTTCAGCACCTCTGATACTAACTGCTCCATCTGCATCCTTCTACGTGCAGGTTGCCCGATCCGCAGCGGACTCACGTGATGTGGGGAATCAGCAAGGTGAGTGGCCCTTGCTGGGGCTTCCCAGTGTCCTCTGGTTTCTCTGGAATGAAAGAGGCGGTGGGAATAGGACCCCGGTCTTCCCGTGGCATAAAGCAATCTCTCCGTGCCTTCTGCAGGATTTCGCCGTCTCTGGGATTCGTTTTGGTACTTTATATACAGAGAACCAAGATGTTGCTAACGCGGTGGCTTCTTTGTGTTATTTCCACGGGGTTTGTGGACCTGTCCAGCACAAGGTCGCGCAACTGCTTAGAGACAGAGGTGAGTCAGCGGCTTCATCTGTGGTTCCTCTGCCCATCCGTGTGTCTGGGTGGTTGGAGGATCCCCCCCTGTACTTCCCCAAGTGGTCCTAGAGGTTAACTGAGAGTCTTCTGTAACCCTGAAGCTGGCCAGATAACACAGCTCTGGCAGCTTTGCAGAAAAAGACGATTTCTGCGGAGCTCCTGGTCAGCACAGAGTTAGGGGAGCAGTTCTGAAGAAGTCTGACAGCTATTTGTACAGAAATAGTGTGTAGAACCAGCTGAGCAGAAACAAAGAGGGCAGACTTGTGGGATGAGGGAACTGGATTTCCAGCTTTGCCCTGGATGGAGCGCTAACAGTCCACAAGAGCTGTGAGTGTAGGAAAACTTCCTCAGGAAGGTCATCTGCACAGACACGAAACTGCCAAGTAGTTCTTGCCCCTCGTTTTGCTATTTGGGGAAACACAAAACAAACAAAAGCAGAAGTGAAGGGCAAAACGGAAAAATGCACGGCGGGTGTTTCAGAAACTGCAACAGGTATGAATTCTTTCTCAGTTTGCGAGTTTTCTTTGCTTTCTCTCTTCTTCTGGTCAGACTGGATCAACCAGGTGTACCTGAGGGCCAACCATGCCCGCCTAAAAGCTGCCCACACGTATGTGACAGATGAACTGAAGACGCTCCGCATTCCTTTTCTGAACCGCAATGCAGGCTTCTTTGTCTGGATTGATTTCCGAAAGGTTGGTGGCCTTAGGGAGGGAGGCTTCTCCTGGCGTGAGTGCTGCAACCACCTCTAGAGTTTTGATATCCTCATAAGCGTTTTGTTTTAACAAACGTCTGGAGGAGCAGAGGGAAGGCCTGCCTGCTATTTCTGTCCGTTCTTTTCCTTTCGTCTGCCTGCAGTTCCCTCCTTGCAGGAATCTTACTGCTCTCAAGCCACTTCCCTCCCCATTTCTTCCTTTTCTATCACAACTGCTGTACTTCAGAGGTAAAAGGTGTCTCTCTGGAATCTCATGGGAATCACAAATTCATGAGGATCTCGGTGATGTAGCCTGTATGTTACTGACCTCTGGCCCTTCTGCTGACTGTCTGTTCTCCCTCGTGGAGGGTGACAGGACGAAGGGAAATGGATTTAAATCACACTGGGAAGGTTCAGGTTAGATATTAGGAAGAATTTCTATACTGAGAGGGCTGTCAGGCACTGGAACAGGCTGCCCAGGGAGGGGGTTGAGTCACTGTCCCTGGAGGGGTTGAAGAGACGGGTGGGTGTTGTGTTGAGGGGAATCATTTAGTAGGTTGGCAGGGCTGGGGCAAAGGGTGGGACCGGGGGCTGAAGGTCTCTTCCAGCTGAAACTATTCTATGATTCTCTGACTCTCCTAGTACCTTCGGACAGGGACGTTTGAGGAGGAGATGCTGCTCTGGAGGCGTTTTCTGGACAACAAGGTCCTCCTGTCCTGCGGTAAAGCCTTTGAATGCAGTGAACCGGGGTGGTTCCGCATCATCTTTGCTGACAAGACCCACCGGCTCCAGTTAGGTGAGCAATGTTCTCTTCTTCCTCCTGCCAGAATTTCTGCAACGCTGAAGCCTAAACTTAGGCCGTTATTATTTTTATCTGCTTGTCTCCTCCCTTTCCTTCCATCCTCTGGATTTTTTTCTGGATCTGGTGCATCTGGGGACACTCATATCTTGACTTAAAACTAACCCGCTAGCGTTTCTTCTCCTTATACCCCTGCAGGCATGCAGCGGATCCGCAAGGTTTTGGAAGAGAGGGAGCAGGTAGGAGATCCTGGCTGAGGAGAAGGAGCAGCCTTGTCAGTCGGATCAGGACGGCAAAGCGGATAGCACGGATGAAGTCATCTTTGTGTCCCGCCACCAGGAACCTACCTGCGCTGGTAGCTCCAACCTCGGTGAGCTCATCGGCCTCCTGCAGCAACAGATGCGCTCGTCCGACTGGCTGCAGAAAAACACAGCCGAGCAGTTTGCGCGGGAAAAGCCAGAGATCTACGACGTGTTCAGCAAACTGGTGGGGAAGCAGTGAGGGTCAGCGTGCCTTCAGGGGGTGTTCCTGAGCAGTGACCAACCCTGGGCCCCTAACAGCTCAGCAGTGACTTCCAGCAAATGATGTATTTTCTGTATAGCAAGAAAATCCCTTTGTAAAAGCCCTCCTCTCTCCGCCCTGTTTGAGAGCTCTAATTTGTATTATATAGCTGCGTTCCTTGGATTGGGGTGAAGGTAGGGAACAGTGGGGGTCTTCTTCACCTGCTGCCCCCCCTGTCCTGCAGCATCATTATATTTTGTATTTCATTTCTAATGAACATGCTCTTAACTCTCTTATAAGGTCCCGTGGTGTCATTTTTTTTTATGTTTCTCATTTCACCATTTTTTTAGCCACAGTTGCCAATTTGGAGGGTAATTTTTTGACTAAACGGTGTTCTTCGGTCTCCTCTCCTTCCTCTCCCATTTAAAAAGGTTTCCTGTATGATGGTGATCAAGCATTTCAGTTGGGAAGTTTATTTCAAAAAGCTCTTTAATTTCCAATACTATACAATTTTTTTTAATACAAATTTAAGATGTTTTTTTGCATACATATTAATCCAGAATTTGAGGAAATCACTTGTGAAAACTGAATGGAAGCGCGCCTTTCTCCTGCGATTTGTTCTAATAGTAACCAAGTTTAATCCTAGTGGCATCACGGGATCTGTTTACTTCATGAGTTTGAGAGGTGAATGATAAAATTTGGGCTAAATTCTGTGCTGTCAAAGCGTCTGGAATTTGCTGATCACAAGCAACGAACTGTCTCTTCCCGATCAAGCCTCCAGCTGGAAAGGCAGAAAATCAAATCCTCGGTCCCATGAAACACGTGCTTAGATTTCCTCTCTGCATGTGTCATGTATCGTAAACCAAATTACCAAGGCACTGGTAGCAAATAATTAATGTGACTGCACTTGGGTGAGGTTACGGTGGAGAATTGCCTGCACGGTGAGAAGGAAAGCCTGAGGAGTGACTGAGGAGAAGATGGTGCTGGCTCTTAGAAGTCACCAGTCCCTCTCTCAGATGCCAGCGGTGAGACAAGGTCAGTGAGGTGACTGGTAAGATGAGTATAAGGGATAGTTATAAGCATCATATTTGCTTATTGGCTTGGCATTTGTCCACGTATGATATTTTTTTTAAGTGCGTTCTGTGATCGTTCTGTTTTATTTCCCATTTGCTCTTGGGAAAGCTGTAGCACAAACCAGGTCCCCTTAATGGAATGGGAGGCGAGATGTACGGCCAAAACACGAACGGACTTAGAATCATAGATCATGGATAGATTACCAGGTTAGAAGGGACCTCAAGGATCATCTAGTCCAACCCTTTAAGGTAAAGAAATCCCATTCAAATGAGATGGCCCAGCACCCTGGCGAGCTGAGCCTTAAAATGATCTAAAGTTGAGGAATCCACCACTTCTCTTGGAAGACTATTCCAATGTCTAATTGGACTTACTGGTCTGCCCCTTCTTATTTATGTATCTCAAGGAGGGTCTGAGCTACAAAAATTCAGAGAGAAAGCTCTTTGAAATGAGGAACCGGGTAAGACCTCAAAGGCACCAGCTGAAGCGGTATTTCAGGGGATTCCTGTAACAAACTGTACCCATTAATTCCCCCTAATTTTTGTTTGGTGTTCTGGTCACTGGAGTGTGTTAATACGCAGCAGTAACAATTAATATGTTTTCTACCCATAGGTGTTTACCGTTCGGAAAGCAGGTTAATTGTCCTGTCTGTGCAGGGAAGCAGCCAGGCCAGCACGCCTCCCGGTAGGAAAAAGGGTGCACCACGCTTTCCAAATCCTCACAGCTAATAAATAAAACACAGCCCACAGTCGCTGCCAGCTGAGCTTGCTGTAACTCAAAATAACGGGACAGACACACGCTTTGTTGCACAGAGTATTTTCCATGGGTCGTTTGTTGGGGTTTTTTTTCAGGTTTAACACCTGCCTGAGGAGCTCTCCAATGAGGACTGTTAGCTTGGTCACAGAAACTCAAAAACATAACTGGAAATGAGGCTAGAGAGAAATGTGAAGTTAAGAGCCGGCTGTTGGAATAAGCATCGTTTGTTTTGATGGTGCAAACCCCATAAATTTTGAAAATGGCCTTTACTGTTTGAAAAGAGTTGGTAGACGTTTAGAAAGTCCTGTGTCTGTGTATACAGAAGTTAAATAGGCTAATTTGCCCTAAGAATACCCTGACAGAAAAAGCACAGGCTCTGCCTGTACAAATTGTTTGTTCCTTGTGCTACCTCCATGTTAGATGTTCTCTCTGCTCACTGTTTCTCTTATTAATGGCCTTTTCTTTTTATTTTTTTAAATTCCTGTATGGCGGGATCAAAAAAGACAGATAAATGATTAAGGACTGTGTGTCCCCGCATTTCTTTTCTTTTACCAGTACCTGAAACAGCCGTACATTTCAGGTCTACCCTTGGTGTGTCCGTGTCTCTGGGAGGAGAGAATCCGTGAATCTCCAAATTATTACCCTGTGTTGTGTTGCAGTTCAGCAAACAGTATCAGTGGGGCTCGTTCTAGATAAATATTTATGAAGGATCATGCATGCTCAGGGGACGGATCTGTGAAGCTGAGTTTTCCCTTACCGAATCTGAATCGATCCCAAGCAAAATGTCTCTAAGGGAAAAGAATCATAAATAACTTAACGGTTTTCTACCTTAACTGAAGGGCAGCTGCTCAAATATACTGTACGACAGATTATTATTATTTTTTCTAAATAAATGCTAATGCCTTAATTGTTGTCTTTCTCTGGTAGAATGCATCCAGCAGAGCATACAGCTGGGCTGGCTGCTGTGTGCTCCCCCTGTGCCCATAACCACCCACTTTCTTAAAACCTGCCTTGGGGACAAATTATCATTTACATTGACAATTTCTCTGCAGTCTTCCTCCAGTTACTTGGTTACAGAATCCCTCTGTCGCTCACGTGCTGCTGGCGGAGCGGTGATATCCCTTCCTCAGAGAGATGGTGGCACGCGGGATCCATGGAGGAAGCTGCGTGAATCACCCCCTCGAAAATTTCCGCGTCTAAAGTAGCCGCAAAAGGGCGAAGCTGCTTTTGCGCTTATAATTGCAGCTTTTTTTATCAAAGCGGCTGAACTAAGAGGGGGTTGTTTTGATTCTTCCCGAAGGAATTCAGATCACATGAAGAACAGGGCAAGGTAACCTATGAGGATGTGTTCCATCCGAGAGAATGTGGCAAGACACACTCGTTCTTCATTCCAATTTATGCTTTATTTATTACCGACTTACATAAAACGCTGGCAACTGACCGATGACAAGATCCTGCAGCTGACAAATGTACCGAAGAGCTTGAGAAGGTTATAAATAAACTCTACTTTTTGTCCTCAGTTTGCCGGGATCGGTTATTTTTAGCAAAGAGCCAGTCGACCTTATCAAAATGAAGAATCCAAAATAGTCTGGAAAAACACTGCAAGGAAAGGCTATTTTTAGCTCTCTGCCTATTCCCCGCTGATGGCACAGCTCACGCACGAGCGCTCGGTTATTCTTGGCGAACGCCTGTCGTGACCTGTTCTTTTCGCCGCATACCTCGCTGCAGCAAAGCATTCGATTGATTAAAGATTAATGCACCCGCAAACCGTGACAGCTGAAAGCTTTAGGGAGCACACGCTGGCAGCGTGTCCCTGCCCCGTTATAGCTCCTCCGAAGGGATCTCCTCCAGTCTCACATCCTTCAGGGGGAGCTATGGCAGCAGAGCTCCCCGGCACCTTCAGCTTTCCTTCTCCCTTTCAATTCGGGAGGGCAGCAGAGGATGTGGGGTTGCAGATCCCTGTATTGACCTGAGCCACCGCCCACAAAGAGCGGCTCTGGAGGTGTGTGATGGGCTTTGGCAAGAGACAAACCCATGCAGGAAGCTGCTAGACACGGTTTATTGATCAGACTAATTACAAACTCGAAGGATAGAAATCAGAGTTGTGAGACATAAACCAGTGAACCTGGCTGCTGCAATATCCTGCTGCCTCTTGTACCAGAAACCCTTTCCTTTAGCCCGGTGCCTTATATATTGGTGGTAGCCATTAGCAATTATTTTCGGGAGAAAAGATCGAGGTATGATTTTTTAGCTATGCTACACCATCAGTTGAAAAATAAGGTTGAAAAGATGGCCCTGAGCCATTATTTTTCCCCTTTTAAAATCACCTCCTTTTATTACAGAGGGGTTTCCAGAATATGCTGCTTCCAGCACTGGCTGCACAAGGTGCACCATAATCTCCTGCGCGGCTGCTTTTTGTGGCAGGAATGACACAACAGCAGAAAGGCTCGCTGAGAGTTTCTTTCTCGTCCAAACACAGATCACCCCAGCAGAAAACATGCTACTGTATACGACAGCAGGCAAACGGATGGCGTGATGGTAAAGCCCTTAAAAACCAATTCCCGGACGACCCCCAAAGAGTTAGAGAAGGCAGGACGTGAAAGGGCAAAGCGGAGAGAGGTGAAATATCTGATTTATCTCACGCATTTATAAAAATTGATAGCCTGTTATCCAGAGGATGATGAATATTTTTGCCAGTTATAAATGGCAACCTGGAGTCTAAAAATAGACACCGCGCTGCAGACTTGTCTGGCTTAGCTACATCACTTGAATATAAAAAGGCTCCCTGATGTGGTTTCAGGGAAATCTCTCTCTTAGCAGACCGCATCCTTCATTTTTCTTGCTATTTTGAAATAAAATAGCTGATGTTGCTTGCTTGTCTTTTAATTCTAGTGTGGTTTTTTTTTAAAAAAATAAAGCTGCACTGCTTTCCCATTTTTTACCCTGCAGAGTCAAAACGCCCATCAAGCCTCTGTGAATATTTCAGCTACAATTGATTTGATGCGGAGCAAAGAGGCAGAGGAAAAGCCCGTGGGTACCGCACGGGGTGGCACAGGAGGCTCCCGGTCCCCCCCCACAGCTGCACGTGGACCAGCCAGTGTCCCCGTCACGCGACAGGGCTGTGGATCCCCCTCCCTGGCTCGATCACATCCAGGCTGATGAATGCCATGGCTGCAGAGAGCCAGGACATGAATGGCATCCCTTTCCCATTCACAGAATCGGGCACGGTCCATTCATCCTCCAGAAGGTTTCCTGCCTCCGATTTATGAACGGGGCAGCTCGCAGCGACTTCAAGCCGACGGGTTAAACCCAGCAACGTGACGTGCTCTGAAAAAACCCCAGCGAGCTGCGCGAGGGAAGAGGAAAAA